CCCCCAGCCACCCCTCCCCCTGCTACACCGGTGTCGGAGTTGTGCTGGCTCACCTTGCTCGCCCAGGTGCCACAGGTTGTGCTTGGTGGGCTCTGGGGGCAGGGGAAGTGACAGTGGCATCACCCCCGTGTCCCCCAACTCATCAGCATCCCGAGCCCCCTGATCCCATCCGCTGTTCACACCCGACTGCCTGCGCCCCCCGTGTCCTTGCAGCCGCTCCAGCAGCGTCTCCGTGTGCCCCTGGTGCTGGAAGGGCTCTGTGGGAACAGGCACAGGGGCACCATCCCTAAGGGCACTGGTGTCACCCAGCCACAGCCAGGCCCTGGTGAAGGGGTGATGGTGGGGTAGCGTGGTGGGAACACACAGGACAGCAGGAACACTGGTGACACGTGGTGCTCACCAGACTGCCGGCGTCCCTGGAGTGGCTCGGTGGCAGTGTCACCCAGGGGCTGGCAGGACCAGCTCTTCTTCAGGCGCTCGGGGCTGCAGCGGGGCAGGCGTGGGGGGTCTGTGGGGGCAGGGAGTGACACCAGGGAAAAATGGGGGGGAACAGAGTAGGGCAGAGAGGGAATGGTAGGGCACCGGTGGCACTTACAGAACAGGTCCATCTCCAGGATGGCTTCCTTAGCCTGCGTGGAGGGAAGGTGAAGAGAAATGGGGAAAAGGTGGGGTACAGCTGCCCCCCTCGCTGTGATAGGGGGTCCCTGGTGTCACTGAGGTACCCACCCCATCACTCTCACCTTTTGGGGGATGGTGGCGTGGTGGTTCTCCAGGATGAGGCGCTTGATGTGGTGAGTCCACACGCGCTTCTCCTCCACGCTCTTGGCCTGGGAGGCACAGGAAGGGCGGTGGGGTTGGGCAGGAGGTACTGGGGGGTCCCCAGGGTGCCCCCCACCCCATGCCCTCCTACCTGCAGGCTGTACTGCTGCTTGCCGTGCTTGTAGTGTGCCAGGCTGAAGCACAGCGAGTCCCGTGTGCTCTCAATCAGCATCAGCGAGGAGCACTGCCGGGAGAGGCATCAGCACCCCTGAACTTCCCACCCCAGCACCCACTGGGCTCCTCCATTCCCAGCACTCCCCAGTTCCCCCAAGCCCAGCACCCACTGAGGTTCCCAACACCAACCCTGCTCCTCTGTCCTGGGAATCCACGGGAGTCCCTGGCACCCAGTGAGCTCCCCACCCCGTCACCCTCAGAGTCTCCTGTCCTTAGCCCGCACCGGGATGTGGCTCTTGTAGACATAGTGGTCACCACGGCGCTTGGTGATGAGCAGGGCCTTGTCGAAGAGGAAGAGGGCACGGTCGTGGCGCACCCGCTGTGTCCGAAATGTGCCCTCCAGCACCAGCTCCCCGTAGCTTGTCAGGTCTGGCCCCTTCCAGCCCAGCAGCAGCGACTGGATCTCCTGCACAGACACGGAGACAGCATCAGCACCCTGTGACAGTGCCCATCTCGTGTCACCTGGTGCCATCCACCGCCCCTGTGGTGTCTCCCTGGTGTCCCCCCGGTGCTCACCTGCTGGCGGATGGCGTGCTCGTGCTTGCGCTTCATGTCATTGATGTACCAGGCCACGCAGGTCATGGTGTCAATGGCCTCCAGCACCAGCTCATAGTCGTCCCCCACCTTGTGCTCGAAGTGCCTGGCGATCTCCTGGGCACAGCACGTGGCATCAGGATATGGGAATGTGCTGTGCCAGGTGCCTGGACTGCTCCAGGCACCCAAGCCATGCCCCTGTGCTATCCCCAGGCTAGGCCAGATGCTCCCTGTGCCACCCCAGGCTGTGCCAGGTGCCCATGCCACAGCAGGTGCCCACACGGTGCCGTGCCAGGTGCCAGGAGCTCACCTGGAGCAGTAGGTGGTACTTGAGGATCCTCTGGACAGGCTTTAGCAGGTAGGCGCCAAGGGGCAACGCATGGCGCAGCCGCTCCTGGCATTCCCGCAGGAACCGTGCCTGGACCTTGCTCCTCATGCACTCGGTCAGTGCTGCCACCGAGCTGTGGGCAGGGAGGGGACTCAGATCCCTGCCCACCCATGTGCTGCCTGCCCACCTCCCTGCTCACCCAGCTGTGGCCCCTACCCACCTGGGGTAGTTATTGCAGTACTGGGTGTAGATAGCAAATTCCTGGCTCTGTGGGTAAGGGGAACACAGTGAGAGCCTGGTACGACCACGTGTCCCCCCCGGTGTCCCCCACTTTGCTTGCCCTTACCCGGGTGACAAAGCACACGGCCACAGCCACGGGGTCATTGGCACAGCTCTCCAGGTTTTGCAGGAGGGTGCTGGGGGCACAGAGAGGACAGGGTGACCATAGCCCCCCCGCAGACACACAGGACAGGGTCACATCCCTGTCATCTCCCAGTGGCACCTGCTCCCCCACCTGCTGAGCTCGTAGATGTCCTCGATGTTCCCGAAGAGCGCGCTGACCTGCTCCGGTCGCAGCACCGGCTCCTCTGCGTCGATGATCTTGCCCAGGTAACCCTGCCGGGCACCCACGGTGGCACCATTGAACCCCTAGGCCCCAAACCGTGTCTAAGGGGTGTGCCCCCATGTGCCCCCCGGCACCCACCTCTACGATGCTGCGCAGGTCACGGGCGTAGGTGCGCTCTGACTCCACGATCTCCTGCACCACGCGGTCCAGGTAGCTGGGTTTGGCTCCGGGACCCCCAAAAGCTGCCAGGGGGTGCCCACCACGGGAACCAGGCCACCCCCCAGGGGAGGCGTTGTTGTTGGCGTTATGGAGCCCCTCGGCCCACGCCTCGGTCCTGGTGCCGGGCGGATCCTCCATGGCACAGCCGGGCTCCGGGCTCAGGGCAGGGCGCTGAGGGCACGTGGGCACCGGCATCCCGGCATCCCCTGGCACCAGTAGGGCACAGGGAGGCTCTGGGGGGAGACTGGGGATAGCACAGGGGCATGGCTTGGGTGCCTGGAGCAGTCCAGGCACCTGGCACAGCACATTCCCATATCCTGATGCCACGTGCTGTGCCCAGGAGATCGCCAGGCACTTCGAGCACAAGGTGGGGG